CGCTGGGCTCCGGAATTGGGGAGGGAGCTCTGTCATAGCCTTAGTTCCGCTGCGGAGTCGCAAGGTGACGTTTGCAGCGTGAATTCAAAGGGTCATTTGGTTTAGCATCTCCGGTGACATGCCACGCAGCAGTTCGTCCCCTTCAAGATGCAGGGAGGTTCGTATGGCCCAGCTCAGAGGGCACTTCTGAAGCCTGTTCTGATTTAAATGTTCTCCAGCTGTGGATAGGTTATACTTCAACCAAATATAATCCTACTGATAAAGCTGCTCTGAAATAGCAGACCAAGTTGTGTTATAACATAAGAGAAGACTCAGCAGTTATATTAGTTATTTGCCAGCTGCTCTGGAGTGTCTTTAGGTAGTTTTTTCTCTCAAATCGTATAGTGGGTTTTTTTCTTTTCCTGAGATTGTGAACTTGGAATGTTTGCAGGCTAGGTGACCACTTTCTTTGCAGCTGTGTGGAAAGGTTTTTATTTTCTAGGAGATGCTGGAGGCACTCAAGGCTCTGTCGACCTTCTTCGTGGAGAACAGTTTGCGCACCCGAAGAAACCTGCGTGGGGACATCGAGCGGCGAAGCCTGGCCATCAATGAAGAGTTTGTCCACATATTCAAGCAAGTTAAGGAGGTAACGTTTTCACAGTGTGACTAGCACTCTTGCAGGAGTGCTGCTGTGTAATTTAAACTCTTAAAAAAAGAAAAATGATTAAGAGAGATCTTGGTTTTCCACAAGAAATATACTTTTACGGTAAAGTCGTTTCATCGTTTGTTTCATTTGATGAAGATCCTGTGCAGAGAAAGGGGATGTTTCAAACAGGTAAAAATTCCAAGTGAACGTTGATCTTTAGAGGTACATTGTCTCCATTGAGTAGCAGGGAGCCTAGAGCAGCTGTGTTCCTTGTAACTTGGGCATTTCATTTTGGTGGGATGAAACTGGGCCTGGGCATGGCATTTCTGATTTAAAACTGTTGTTTGAACTTATTTAGGAGCTTGAGAGTATAAATGAAGATGTGCAAGCAATGAGCAGCTGCTGTGAAGATATGTCAAGTCGTTTGAAGGTACTGAGTAAATAAATGTGCTTTGTATTTTGTTTTCTTTCAAGGTACAGCTAATTTATTTGAAAAGGATAAGTAATTAATTTGAGAGGGTTAACAGTAGCACTGAGGTGTTTCCATAGTATGCATGTTATGTTACTTGAGGATATTAATGTGTTTCTTCTTATTGAAAAGATGTGTTGAAGTCATTGTAATTTCTTCCAAATTGTGATTCAGAATGCAGCAATATATTTGAGAATAGCAATGATATATCCATTAGCATGTGAGTGGAGAGAAAATATTTGATTAGATTGGATGTGTGAGATAAGACTCCATTACATTTGTGCATTTCCATTTGAAATTTCTGTGCCTTTTGCATTGAATGCAATGTTGAGTTAGTGTTTGTATTAGTACCTCAGGTCCATTCATAAGAAAGTGTCTTGTAATCCAAAGTTTGCTATGTTCCTGCTATTGATTTTGTCTACTAACATTGTCTCAAAATGCTGCTATGCAACAAAATTAATTCTGCTTCATATTAATACTGAATTCATAAAATTGTAGGGGAGGGGGGAAATGTTGCATTTTATAATGTGTTACTAAATCCAGCTTAGGTTTAGTGTGCAAGTTCACTGTTCAATACAGTGACCAGTTTAAAAGGTTTGTAGATGCTGAAGTGTAGCTATTTTGCCAAGCTAAATCTGTTAGGAGTATAGCACATAAGTGAGAATCCTTCACTAAAAACCCCATGAAAATAGTGATTTTTTTCTCCTCCTAATGTGTGTGTGGGAACTTCTTAGATGTCCCCCTACTTGGATGGATATGTTTCATAGCCATTGTATGTAATCCATAAGAAAGTGTGGGGAGCCCAGTGTAGCCCACTGCAGTACTTAATTTTCAGTTTTGGAAGGCAGTGGGTAGTGCACCTGGGAGGTCTCAGATCTCTTTGAACACTGCTAATGTGGATGTATTCCCTGGTGCTGTTCAGGGACTGTTTGATTAAACTCTCAGATGTGGAAATGAGCCAAGTGGCCATGCAGATTTTTTTTGCTCTTTTCTGTCTTTAGATCATGAAGTGTAACTATCACTTGTGATTTTTTTTATTCCCCTCCAGAGTAGAGCCATCCTGCAGTGATGTTCTTTTTCTATTAAAGTCAGTAGGTAGTTTTGTTCTGTGCCTCACATGAGGTTTCCTCTAGAGCTCTGTGGAACTCTATAATTGTCTCAGTTCAACTTGTATTTTCTTTGTCTGTATGAATGTAAAGTTAGTTAATAAGCCCATGAACTTGCACTCAGTTGTCAAATACTCTGATATTTTATCTGTAATAGGACATGAAGACTTGCAAGCATGTGCTCAAGCTAAATAAGAAGACAAAAAGAACTAAGGGTAGAGCAGGTAGAGGATATGAGGAGGAGTATGGCCTATAAGGCAGGAAAGTGTGCTGAGAGAGTAGAACAAGTACAAGATGTGAAATATTGATAAGCCAAAAAGCTTTTTATGTTTTTTTATTTTTTAACTTCTGCCCAGTCCAAATGACCAAATAGTGTCAGATATGATTTCAGGACAGGGACTTGATAAATGCAATGGCTGAAAGGGAGAGGAGGAGGCAAGTGCTGGGGTGGCATAAAGCAGAGTTGAAGGGTAATGAAGGCTTTAATTTGTATACTGAGGTGGGGGGAAAGAGAAGTTAACATTTGACATTTCTTGCAGATCCAAAATAGAAATATTTTCCTCTGATTTTTCTGGCATGTCTGACTCTTTTCTGCCAGTTACCTTGTTTTGATTAGAAGCAAACTCCTACAATAATAACAGTATCTGGCATGTATTTGAGTGCATGTAAAAAGACACAGGCTTCCTGACCCATCTACCTACATCCAGAAAAACTTCTTCCTTCCTTTCTGCTGTCCTGCTGTTAGCATTCTTCTTGGCAATTAGTACTGCTGTCCAGAAAGTACTGAAAAGGAAGAAAAATTCTTCTTCTGTATTTTGTTTTATTAAAATCTACAACTCTGAAGGGAAGGTGAGGGGGGGAAGTCTGGAACTAGTAGATTTCCCTACTGAGTAGTTCAGGTCTAGTCTTTTTTTCTTAAGCTGATGCATTGAAAATCAATATTATTTTAAAAGTTTAAAACACAAATACATTATGAATCTAAATATAATTGCATAAGATATAAAAATCTCAAAAGTACTGTAAATTATTTTGGAGCTACTAAATGTTCAGTAGATTCTGTTGAGTTTTTATTCAACTTAGATGTTAGTCCATAGTAGTTTCCTTCAGCAAATTCAGCTGCTGGCACCTTCTATATTCATGGAACAGCTCAGAAAAATTACATTTTTCTGTTAAACCTTCTTATTTTTTCTGCCTAAATGATCACTGGTGGTGTCTGATGGGAAAGCACCAGTTCTGAAGGTATTTTATCTCTAGCAGAGTGCTGTTTCAGACAGAACTCCTTCACTTCAGCTGCAGCAATCCCTTTAGTCATGCAGCTGTTGTCTGTGGCAGAACTGTTTCTGCATGGATTCCCTTGCATTGTCATCACTGAACATTTAGAGCTGTGATGAATATCTGAAGTGCTTTGCTTTTAGAACCATAGAATCATTTAGGTTGGAAAACACCTTTAAGATGACTGAGTCCAACTGTTAACCCAGCACTGCCAAGTCCACCACTAAACCAGGTCACTGAGCACCACATCTACACATCTTATGAATACCTGCAGGGAGGGTGACTCAGCCACTTCCCTGGGCAGCCTCTTCCAATTTTTGACAACCTTTTGGTGAAGAAATTTTTCCTGATCATTTTTCTTGGTCCTTACAGCCCTGTAAGCTGCTTGGACTGTAGAGCTAAACTTGCTTAGACCAGCAGAGCTGTATTGGTGTTGTCTAAAATGTCTGGAAGGACACTGGCACTGGGCAGTTGAGAATCCAAAGAAACTTGTTTCATTTCTCATTTTGTAACAGCAAAAAATTCACAGTTGGTGGACAAACAAAATGATCAGAATTGTTTTTAATATTTGTAATAATGTTTTTGTATGAAATATAACTTAAAAAGAAACTGTATGTGAATATAAATGAATATGAAGATGACTAGAGAGAGAGAGATAAGGATATTAATTTATTTTCTGTGCCTGAAAATTGGGAGAGTTAATGAATACTTATTTCAGGAAAGCATTTTGTTTCAAAGAATACACTCTTTAAACTGCTTATAGTTAGAATGCCTCAAAATTATTACATATTATCAGATGTATTGCACAAATCTAAATGTTTGTGTTTTTCATATGCTAACGACTTTAATTGTATTCTAGGCAGCAAAGGAACAAACCCAGGACCTGATAGTAAAAACCACAAAACTCCAGGCAGAAAAGTATGTATATCACCTTATTTATTTCTTGAAGCTATGACAGTACTGAGGGAATTTTCTTCTAGGTCTTGTTCTGCCACTCTTCCTTTTTGAGTAATGACTTTGGGGTTTTTGGTATTTGTTTTTAACACTATCTGTGTTTGTAGCTCAACTGGAATAAAAATAACTGAATTCTTAGTTTATTACTGGGACTGTATGTAGGAACAGGAAGGTGGATTATAACCTACTCTGCCATATTTAAAGCTAACTGTGAAATACCTGAGTGCTCTTCCATGAGCCTCACACAAACCATTTTTTTCCCTTGGTTCTTCAGCCTCTTGTGGGAGAAAAGATTTGTATTTTGCTCTTTTCAGTATTTTCATTCATGGGAAGGGGATTATAGTCTCTGAAAGATTCAAGTAACCTTTATTGGTTTTTAGGCTAGGCTATCTGGTTTTACAGCTTTAGCCTTTGCCAGTGTAGAAGAATGAATCTTCTTGCTTTATGAGTTTTCTTCTGAAAATTATGTACAGTACACTGGACATTTGAAATAGTTATTTCCAGTTATAATTCCCTAGTAGAAATTATGGCTTTGGATAGCTCTGGGTGAGCTCTCAAAATCAGTAGGGTTGTGTTGTGGGCTTCAGGAGGAGGTAGTATGTCCTGGGAGAGTCTGACTGTGCAGTTAGAGTGGAGTCTGTGCATATTTTAAAAGTTAAATGTAGAATAACTACATAAAATACAATGCTGGTTGATATGAAGTGAAGGTTTTTGCAAAGTCACAATTTAAGCAAGAGTGCAGAAGCCAAGTCTTAGCAAATTTGTTCTTTTAAATACAAGTATGTGAAATAGTAGGACAGAGAAGTGGTCATAGTTTTTTTTGTAGTCTGAATTAAAGGAAAGTTGCTTTGATTCCTTGTTCTGAGGCAGAGTGGAAGATACCAGGATGAATCCCCAGTGGTGTATGTTTAATTGTTCTTAAATTCCATTAAAGGAGATTATGCAAACTGTACATCAGTACTTCTACACTAGAGTCCTTCTGCACATAGCAGTCTGCTTAAAAGACTTTCTGCTAATTCCTTTAAGAGACAGAACATCTCCCTAGTGTGAGGAGGAAAAAAGGCTTAGGAAGTAGCCTGTCCTTCTGAGAGTCTGTGTGACCTCAGAGTACACTCATAGGAAAAGGTTCTTTTCTAAAGTGCTGTCTTTTAGGTATACTATGAAGTACCCACTAGCAGAAGCCAAACAATACTTGTGGTCTTACAATATGATGGTTATGGAAGCCTCATAGTGGCATTTATTAACAAAGTAAACTTTTTTCCTGGCTAAACTGATGGAAATTTAGCAAAAGCTACAATGAGAAGGCTGGTTTGGTCTGTTTGGGACCTGAAAAAAAATTAAAAAAAAAACAAAAAAACCCAAAAAAACAATTTCAGAAATGTTTCTGGTTTTCAGTAAATGATTTGCAGTGCTAGTTGTCAGTCAAAAAAAAAAGATCTTCCATTATGCTTAGCATTTATCTGTTTTGCTTTAGCTGGCCATGTTTTCATAAGAGGGAAATGTTATGATTTGATTCAATGTGCTAAAACTGAAGAGAGAGAGTAAACTTTCAAATGCATTTCATGTAATTAAGGATTTAGATTTAAGAAAACATTTAATTTTTGTGTTTGAAATCTCAGGGAAAATGGGCTGCTGTCGTCACTCATTATGATGATAGAAAGTTACTTAGGCAAATGACTGAATTTATATTTCACAGCTTTTTATTTACTTCTCTTCATTTTTTAAGAATAAATGTTAGCTCTGGCTTTGATCAAAGATGTCTGGTTGTCTTTCTGTAATAGTCCTGAGGCTGTTTTCAGTAAATGACAGGTGGAACCATTGGTTTGGGTAAACCTTCTTCATGCCTGGTCAGTTCTCATGGAAAGTAAATATAGTCAAAAGGTGTTATAATTAACATAAAATTTAAAGAAAACTGCAATTAAGAGAACAGAACGTTCACTTCAAAACCAGTGAAAGAAAAGTCAATAGCCAAAGTCTTTTTAAATGGAATTGTAACTTTCT